GACATGGCAAACAACTCCCCATTTTTAACCATTTACGTACGCAGAGTTTAGGGCGTGGGGCGACCTATTTATCTCAGCTCTTCTGGTCTTTTCTGCAGGGTGCACTTCTTTTCAGATCAGTAGTCTGAATAACCCTTGAAGCACATCATTACTGGAAACACTGCACCACAGAATGTAACTTAACACACAGTCAGCTGATGAGACAACACACAGACATCACGTTGTGCTTCGTTTTTCAAATATCAAGTCCCTAAACCCCAAGATTTGTTTTGAACTTTAAGACTATAGGCTGTTTGTGTGAGTTCATTTGCCTCTGTTACAAACTTCKCAGTGCTGTGATGACTTCCATGTTGTGTTCTGGTGTTTTTATTCAGTACAACCTGTAGTTTATTTATACTGGGAAAAAAATGTAATTCAATAAATAGATTTTCTAGTCATTTGTAAAACGTTAACTAATCAGTTAATCTAATTAATTCTAAMTTCACTCCAAGGTGTGCATAAACGTACAACAAAATAAAATTCTTTTTCCCAATTTGTCTAATTTTAAAATGTGCAGAAAAAGCAGGAAGAAGCCTAATCATCCTCAACTGCAGCAAAACCCTGTGCTGATTCAGGGAATGCAAATTTRCCAGCAGTGGTACTGGCAGCACTAAAACGACCACTGCTGATTTTATTTATATATTTTTTAATTTGAAATGCTTTTTTAGACAGTAATGAATGTGTCTCATTTACATGCACAAGGCTCCAACTTTATTTCCAAAAAATCTTGGACGCTATGTAAAACTAAAAACAAATGATAGAAGCAAATGATTTTTAAAATCATTCAAATGAACACAGAAAGCAACACAATCAAATGTGATGCCAGCGATGTAGTCCAAGAAGACTGGGAAATGTGTGCAGTGTTAAAAAAATGACAACAAAAAATGTTAGAAGTATTTTTTATATTCCCAGAGTGGCCTTGAGTTCCAAAAGTTAGTTTGAATGGAACTCATGTTGGATTGTATCTTACTGATGAATAAAATAGAATTAAAATTTGTTTTTGTTTTTTTATTTTTTGGCAAAACGTGAAAAGAGAGAGATCAGTTGGTTTGTTAGCAACACACAGTTCAAAATCCAGCTTTATGATTTTGTGGCTCACATAAAACAATCTTTAAAGGAGACCTAAAATACTTTTAAATCCTTCTTTTTTCACATTTAAATCATTCAGTTGGGGTCTAAAAGTGTAACTGCAATACTTTGATCTGAATTCCTCCTTATTGTAACTCCACAARCCCTGCCCATTTTCTAGGGTGTGTCTCAGATCAACTCGTCTTGAGGCTGTGTCTTTAAATCCAAACAAGGCGTTTCACATACATGTTGAAAAACAAAAAAAATGATATGCCCCCTTTAATTCAAACAAGACTATATATATA